TTATTTTTCCATAGGAATTGAGATTTTCAAAAAGTGTTAAAATCATTATTTTAAATTATAAGAATATTGTTATTGTAACTTCTTAAAAATTATTTTCATATTCTATTATCTAAAATTTAAACTAAAATTCATTTTCAAATTAATTTTTATTAGAAAATTCTACGAGAATTCAATTATTTAAATACAAAAGAAAATTATTTATTGAATAATTGAATGTTTCTTAAAATTTAATTCTTATTAAAGAATTTTATTAACAAACTTTTAAATAATTGAATTCTTTTGACGAATTTTAATAAAATTTTTTTAGAATAGTTACATTTTTCAAGGAATTTGATTAAAATAATTAAAAATATTAAAAATAATTGAAATTCTGCGATGACTTTTACTATTTCTGAAAATAATTGAATATTTGCAAAGAAACTTATAAAAAATTTGTAAATATTTGAATTCCTGTGAAATTTTTATTATTTATGAAAATAATTAAATGTTTGGGTATGTACAATTTTATTATTAAAATTTTTTTTAAATAATTGATTTCTTTTGAATAGTTTTATTAAAATAGAGATATTGAAAATTATTGAAATGAGGAAAATTTTTGAAAATAATTTAAATTTTGACAAGAATTTTATTAAAATTTTTTTTAAATAATTGATTTCTTTTGAATAGTTTTATTAAAATAGAGATATTAAAAATTATTGAAATGAGGAAAATTTTTGAAAATAATTTAAATTTTGACAAGAATTTTATTAAAATTTTTGAAAATAATTGTATTTTGAAGTAGAATTTTCTTATTTATAAAGATAATTGAGATTTTGATGAGATTTTTTTAATTTTGAACATAATTAAATTTTGTGATAAGAATTTTATTACTATTGAAAATAATTGAATTTCTGCAATTATTTGTAATTTCTCCAAAATTTAATTTTTTTAGTATTTTTAACTAAAATTCTTCTATAAATCCATTATTTTTAATAATTAATTTAATATTTATTGACAAATTAAATCAATTTTAGAAGATTTTGAATTATTAAAATTTCTCAAAAATTTTCCTACTTTAAACTTTGTAATTAAATTAATTTTAAAAATTGAAATTTTATAAAATTTTATAAAATTTCAAATTGAAACCGTTTGAACTTCACTTATTTATGAAAATTATAAACGCAGCTCTTTTAAAATTGAATTAATTTTGAAATATTTGAGTAAAATTATACATTTAATAATTTATAAGTAATTATTTTATGATAGTTGTTCAAGATTTAAGTTATTTAAAAAGAAATTACTTTCAAAAATTGAAAAAATTAAAGGTTTTGAATTATAATTTGTGGTCATTTCATAGTTAATGTGGCATACAAAAGATACAAAAATTCAGAATTTTCTTATGAATTTAAAAAATTTAATGTCTTTCAGTACTTTTAATCAAAATTCCTGACTTTTCTCTAAATTCCCTACGTCAGAATATATTCTACTATAATTATAATAATATTAAAACTATATTCCAATTCATATTTCATTTTTATGAAAATAAATTGGAATTAAAATTTTTTACGTTCTATTATTTTTAAAATTGCTAATTTTATTTAAAAAAGTGAGTAAAAAGTTAGCCGCTCGCGAATTGTTGCTAGTAATAAACATTAATTGTAAATTCAAATAAATGAAACATGGAAAAAATTTTTTCTAAAAAAGAAAAAATGGAAAAACTGAAGAAATTTTCAGAAAATCGTCCGTGGGAGAAGTTGGAGGAAAAAAAAAGTTTTTAAAGGAGAAAAAATGCCTTTTTTTGAAACAAATGTTTTCTACATATTTCATATGGTAAAACTCCGCGAAGGTTAAAATGCCTGCGAATATTTTTGCGAAGCGAAAGTTGTATCTAATAACCGTGACAATTTCTTTTCGTTTGTGTGTCTATGTGAGTGTGTGTGTGTGTGTGTGTATTGCAGAGACCATTTATTTTAGGAAAAAAAACGGGGGCAATTCTGTTCTATTTCGTATAGTGCGAATAAGTGCAATATCGTGCAAGGAATATCTTGGAAACACGTCTCATATATGTATGTATAGTTCCGCAGACGATTTATTTCACCGAATGTGTATACTTGCGAATCGTCAGTTTCTATTGAATTTCCCGCTTATCACATTCGATTTTTTTTTCACCCCTCATTTTTGAAAAAAGAAAAACATGTTTTATTTTCAATTTTTGTAATTCATTTTTTATGTAATCTTCCATTGACACTAATTAATTTTTGAAAATAATTTGTAAATACTATTTTTGATTTATAATTAATACAAAATATTAATAAATAAAATAAATAAATAAAAATTAATAAATAATAAATAAAATAAATAAATAAAAATTAATAAATAATAAAAAAAATAGTAAATAAAAATTAATAAATAATAAAAAAAATATATAAAAACAAATATCACGGATGAAAAAATTTGGGTAAATAGTTTACAGTAGAAAATATAGAAAAATTTGTATTCAAAACGAAAATAACAAAAAGAACGAAAAAAAAACAAAACAACTAGAAAAGAACGAACAAAAGTGAAAAAATCCCAAAAAGAAGAAATACAGAAAAAAATGAAAAACAGAATAAAAATTTGTAATTTACCTCTCTTTTCAATATTTTCTCTTCGCACATTTCGTCAAATGAATAACTATTCCTCTCTTTCCCTCTCGAATTCAAATAAAATTCAATGTGATTTAAAATCATCAATACATAAAATATATATATATTATTTGATATTCAATATTTTTCTCACAGTCGAGCCAATAATTCATCGTTTTCTCGAAATGAATTTAACGCAAACAACATTTTCCCATCACACGCAGTTTTTTTTTCATCGATTTGGAACAAAATAAAATGACAAAAAAAAAACGGGGAAAAAATAGTGTCGCTTTGAAAATGTTCAAAAGGTTATATGACATTCAGAAACAAGTGCAAATAGATTGTTGATTTGTCAGATACATTTTTATCAGATCTTTTGTATACAATTTTCAAGTACCTATATGTATATATCATATACATTTTTCCTGCGGATATTGACTCAGTGAGATTTTTTCAAATAATGATAATAATAATAATAAAAAAAAAGAAATTTTGTTCATTTTCAAAACTTATGGACCGTATGAAAAATAAAATTGGAAAAACAAAAATATATTTAGATTAATTTTGTATTTATTTTCACTGTATTGTTTATTTAAACTAAAATATTAATTTGACTGCATTACTTTTTAGTTAATTTAAATCAAAACTCTCTGTTCGCTTCGGAAATTAGTAAAAAATAATTACTTATTATTAGTAAAAGAATAACTAATTTTTAGTAGATTATCTTAAATTCTTCTCTCGCTTTTGTAATTAGAAAAAACAACATATTTTTAGTGAAAAAATAAAAGAGAAAAATATACAAATTTTAATAAATAAATAAATTTTATCAGAAATTTTAGACATTTTGAAATTAATTAAAAATGAATTTAACTAATAATTAATAATATTAGTTAAAAAAAAAACTATTTTTAAGAAATAAATTTCATTTTTACTGACGTGAGTTAATTAAACTAATTATTAGTTACTTAAATTGGTAGTAACTAATGATGATTAGTAGAAATTTTACAATTTAATTTGACAGACTTCGTGCAATCCAATTAGATTTAACTAATTCAAATTCAAAAAGTACTAAATTTTCAGTGAATAATTACTAATATTCTAAAAGTTTTTACTAATTTAACTTAGTTAAGTTTGACTAAAATTTTGATTGTTTCAAAGAGCCAATAAATGGCAAAATTTTTAACGAATTAAAATTAGCGACTGGTTCATGAATTTGATTTATTTATTATTTAAATATATTTATTAATTTTATTTTATTCAAATTTTTTTTATAATTATTTTTATTTTATAATTAATTCAAAATTGTAATGACAAATATAATTTTTTTTCATTCAAATACTAAAATTTTGTTAAATATTATGTTTTGTCAAATTTAAATTACGCAGATTTTTGTTCTTTACTTCTAAACAAAATTAGAAAATTGTTAAACAACTGTGAGAAATAGAAAATTTATTTATTTTGCATTATTTTTGTTTATGAATCACAGTTTTTTTTAACAAAATTATTATCTTGTTTGAGAAAAAAAAAGAAAAATATTTGCACAATTTCTATTTTTAATTGTTTTGAAAATAATTGAATTTCTGCAATTATTTGTAATTTCTCTAAAATAGAATTTTTTTTTAGTGTTTTCAACAAAAATTTAAATTAGAAAATTTTTAAATTCTATTATTTTTAAAATTGCTAACTTTATTTAAAAAAGGCAGTAAAAAGTTATCCGCGCGCTTTAGCGCCTGAATTGTTGTTGGTAAATAACATAAATTAATACAAAAAATGTAAAAGTAAAAAAAAGTGGGAAATAAAATGGTAAGAAAATAGTAAAATAGTAGAAATGATATAATAATTGTCAAAAATAGTCAAAAGTAGTCAAAATAGTAAAAAATAGTAAAAAATAGTAAAAAAAATGGCAAAAAATGTTTAGAAAAACTTTACTAATTCATCAGTAGAATCTACTCAAATCGTAGCAAAAATTCATCAGAACTTTTACCAACTATCAGCTAGTTTACCAATTCATTTAAAATACAATGATTTATTATATTGCATCAATGAATATCAAATTAAAAAAAAAAATATTACAGAATTAAAATTTTTTCCCACACTGAAATAATTTAAAACCTCTTCCTCAAAGAAAAATAAAGTTCATCCACATTTTCACACAGCAAAACATTCCAAAGTGACGAGATATAAACCGTGAAGAATTTTAAAGTGTAAAATCGAAGCTAATCCCTCGCCTTAAAAAAAAAAAACAGCAGAAAAAAAAACAACCAAGAACTGAATGAGTTTTGAGCTCACTACTGGTTTCGCAATAACGACAAATCATCTTTAGTTTGACGCGTTGTTCTCGCTTTGAAATTGTAAGTGTAAGAACTCATTACGTGCGTACTCAGAATTCAACTTTACCTGTGAGGCAATCTTGAGTGGGTAAAGAAGAGATTCCTCTTGGATTGTGATGAGCGTTTTGCCGCGCGCAACTTTACGACGCGTTCACCTTGTCAGTTTTGCCCTGCGTTCTCCAAATGATTCCAAGGTTTCAAAGAAAAAAGCAGAAAAACAAAACTGGGAGACACAAAACAACACTTTTGAGGGATTTGGAAAATTTCCACAAGGAACTAGCACAACTATTCTAATTTCTAATTATGCTTGACAATTGTAGGCACAAATTTTCACTTTATTTATTTGCAGCTGAGTGCAAAATAAAAAAAACACTTGGACACTTTTTTTTTTGGGTGGAGGTCATGAAACACTTGATTCGAGAAAAATTACTTTTTACGTTACTATAAACGTTGTATGTTAATTTCTACACAATAAACACCACAATTCACTGTTATATAGATGAAGAGTAACTTCATCAGCACTGGAAGTAAATTAACAGATGACCGAGTAAATTCACAAATGACGAGAGATGGACTTCCACCAGATGCCGGAGGTGTTAGGATGCAATGCAGTTTAATCGATGTAGAATTGTGCAGGATGTAGTGCAACCTCAGTGATGTTTTAGTGCCAATCGACAATAACACCGATCCTCGAAACACTCTCAACACACCAAAGTACTTGCTTGTACTTGTGCTGGTGCTGGTGACCGATCATGTTTCCGAAGCACTACACTTGCCCACTCATTGCTTACTTAGACAATCAACGCATTCCTGCACGCGACACATCATTTTCTCAATTTGTCCACGACTATTTTCAATTCAATTCTCTCCATTTCTCATCTGGGGCGAAATGATTTTTTCTTTCCTATTTTTCACCATTTACTTAATGTTAATATTCTCTGCAAATCTTCTTCTCTGCAAATTTTTTCTTTTTATTTTTCCTCTAAATCTTCTCTGAATATTTTTACTGTAAATTTTCTCTGCAAATTTTTACCGAAAATCTGCTCTGCAAATTTTTACTGTAAATCTGCTCTGCAAATTTTTACTGTAAATCTGTTCTGCAAATTTTTACAATTAATCGTCCCTTTACTGTTAATCTTCTCTTAAAATTTTTACACTGTAAATTTTCTCTGAGAATATTTGCTGTAGATGGAAATCCCCGCTGGGAATTTTTACTGTAAATCTTCTCCTCTTGAAATGTTTACTTCAAGTCTTCTCTTGAAATTTTTACTGTAAATCTTGTCTCCAAACTTTTACAGTAAATCTTCTTTGGGAATTTTTAATCTTGAATTTAAATTTTTACAGTAAATTTCTTTCGGTTTGCAATTTTTACAGTAAATCTTCTCTTTTGTAATTTTTACAGTAAATATCCTTCCTTGAAATTTGTTCGTCTAAATCTTCTCTAGATATTTTTCCCTGTTAAACTTCTCTTGAAATTTTTACACTTGTAAATCTTCTCTGCAAATTTTTACTGTAAACTTTCTCCTGAAATTTATACTGTAAATTTTCTCTGGAAATTTTCTCTGGAAATTTTCACTGGGAATCTTCTCTGCAAAATTTCCTGCAAACTTTCTCTGAAAATTCTTTACTGTAAACTTTTCCTTAAAAATTTTACTGTAAATTTTTCTCTCCGCTATTATTGCCACTGGAAATCTTCTTTTCGAAAAAATTTTCCCAAAATGTAAATCTTCTCTATTGCAATTTTTACACGGTAAATCTTCTCCTTTGCAATTTTTACACTGTAAATCTTTTCTTGAAAACTCGTTTTTTCCCCTTCACTGCAAAAATCTCGTCTCTTGGAAATATTTACAGTAAATCTTGTCTGAAAATATTTACTGTAAATCTTCAATTGACATCCCATTCAGAAAAGTACATCGCCGTAGTATGTGACATTCGAAGAATGCTGATTAGACTTTCAATACACGCCTCTCACTCAGAATTATCCAAGGAATATCCATCAATGTCAAAAGAGTGAGAAAAGAAAAACTTCCCGACACTTGTACTTTAGGAAAAATCGCACATACAATAAAAAATTATTTCTCCCCTTTTTCGACTATATTTCGACAGATAAAAAGAAACTTTTTCCTATTTTTTTTTGCAATTTTTTTGCAATTGCAAATTTTTTTAATTGCAAATTTGTTAATTGCAAATTTTTTAATTGCAAATTTTTTAATTGCAAATTTGTTAATTGCAAAAATTCCCCTTTTTCTTCTAAATTGCAAAAATCCTTCAATTGCAAAATAAAAGAGACGTTTTTTTATAAACTAAAATTTCTCGTGTCAGAGTGAGAAAAAAAATCCAATTCACGATTTGTTTATGTATTTATAATGAAACGAGACTCGCGAAATTGCGAATCAAGAATCAGAGCGAATCACCCCGAGCGCGGTTCTCGGAGAACGAACTGAAGTCGGTAGAGAGCACGCGACGTGAAGGTGGGAAAGGGGAGGTAAAGGGTGAGGAAAGGGGGAGAGGAGAGGGTTACGTTCGCCATGCGCGAATTCCCCTCTTTTATTTCCCCACCCCACTCTCAAAAACGATCGCTATCGATCTGTTAAAAAAAATGATCGTGGACTTGACTTTCCTCGTGAGGATCATATTGAAAGATCGTGAATAGTTCACAAGGAAATTCAAGGACAATATTGTTACATTTTTTTTTTTTCATTACTAGAGAATGATTTGGAATTTATATTTTGTTATTGAATTTATTGTTATTTATAATTGATAATTGATAATTAATTTTTAATTTTTAATACAGATAATTAAATTATTATAATTTGTGATTCTATTTTTTTCATAAAAAAATTACCTTTTATCATTTTTTTCAACGTCTACCCTTAAAAAGAATTACGTGTAAAAATTAACAGTAAGTAAAGTACAAAATAATTTTTATGTAAATTTTGTAATATTTACATGGAATTTCTATAAAATTTTCATTTTGACAATTTTTTGCGAAAAAAAAATTAGAAGAATGTAGATTATGTAAAAATTACGATGAATCAAAGAAATGCTGAAAAAACTCTATGCAGATTTCATAATATTTCAATGGAATTTACATGTAAATTAAATCAATATTTACATGGAATTTCTATAGAATATTTAGTTTTATAATTTTGTGAAAGAAAAAAAATTCAAAGTACGTGGAATGTGAAAATTTCTATAAATACCGAAATTCTGTAAAAATTCTATGGAAATTCCCTAATATTTCCATGGAATTTACATGTAAATTTCATAAATATTTACATGTAATTTCTATAGAATTTTCAAAAAAAAAACTTTTTTTAAAAAACTTTTTTTTTAAAACTAAACTTTTAAAAGTTTACGAAAGGAAAAAAAATTAGAAGTAAGTGCAATGGGAAAATTTTGATAAATGTAATTTTGCAAGAATCCTATGGAAATTTCTTAATATTTAATTTACATGTAAATTACATAAATATTTACAGATAATTTCTATAGAATTTTCAACTTTTGAAGTTTACGAAAGGAAAAAAAATTCGAAGTAAGTGCAATGGGAAAATTTCGATGAATGGAATTTTGTAAGAATTCTATGGAAATTCCATAATATTTACATGGAATTTGTATGCGAAATCCGCAAATGTTTACATGAAATTTCAAATTTGTAATTATATGAAAGAAAGAAAAATTCAAATTTGTGGAATGTGAATGTTTTGATAAATGTAAAAATTCTATTGAAAGAAATTACATATTTTTATGGATTTCAACGATTTGATTTTCTAAGGAAAATCTATGTAATTTTCCCAAGGAATTTTATTACAAAAAAATTTTTTTGATTGTATTTCATTTTGGAAAATTACCTGGAAAATTGCCTTCGTGGAATTTTCATAAAAGCTTTTATCAAAAATTCCATGGATATTCTGTGTATTCATGGAATTTTTATAAAATTTTCCATTTCGTAATTTTAAAAAAAAAATCTTATAGAGAATCTAAGTGGAACACAAAAATTTCAACAAAAATAAAAAATTCTGTAGATTTTTCTATAAAAATTCATTAAATTAGGATGAATACATAGAATTTACAATTTTTGTAATTTTTCTGAAAAGAATTTTAATTAAATTTACTTCAACATTTTACCGATTTCACAAAAATTTGTTTCTTTTACGTTTGGTCAGTAAATTTTGTTCCTACTGTTACAAAATTATAAATTACACGGAAATTGCTTAGAATTTTGCATGGAATTTCCATGGAATTTCTACAGAATTTTCCTAATTGTAGCATTTTCTTGAATTTACAGGAGGAAAAAAAAATTGAATCAGCAACATTTCCTAGTAAAAAAATTTCCAGGACGTTTCCATTTGGAATTTTTATAGAATCTGCATTAGAAAATTCCCTAAAAATTCCATAAAATTTCCCTGGGATTTTTATAAAATATACAAATTCGCAACTTTAAGAAAAAACATTTTTTACCCTCTTCTTCAAAAACGAAAAAAATTCCCCAGAAATCTCAAAATTGTAAAATTTAAGATTTTTAAGTAAAATTACAAAATTAGAAATTCCCTGAAAATAATTTTATACAGATTTTATTAAGAAAATATAATTTATTTTTCCTAAAAATATTCTGGAATTTTCAAACAAATTTCTTCAAAATTCCCACCCCCCCCCTTTTTTTAAAATTTTTCATTAAAAATTTTCCTGGACACTTTCTTCTCACGAGGAATTTTTCCAACATTCGAAATTAAAAAGTTTTGCTGTATTCTTTAATCAAAAAAAATTTTGACCTTCACAATTTTCTTTTTATGAGACCGGAAAGTAAACTTTTTTTACATTCACGAGATTACTTTTCAAAGTGTTAAAGAAAAAATGTGCTAGTAAATAATTATGACACACAGCTCAAGTCATATTGAATATTTGTAAAGAAACAACCATCGTTTTCTCCCATGAGAAAAATAAATTTTTTTACGATTCTAGAAAATATATATGTGAAAAAAATTGACATCTAACTTAAAATTCATGGAAAATTTAATAGACTTTGTGTAACGTTAAAAAATATTAAGCGAATTTAAAATTGAAAAACAAAATGGAAATTATTTTTTCCATATAGAATAATAAAAGTTTCTTTCTTAAACTTTGAATTAGTTGATAATAAATAATGTTATTTTTCCATTAAAAATTTTTTATTTTTAGTATAATAATTTTTTTTTTACTGACGATTGTTTTTTACTGATAGTTTTTTTTTGCTAATAATTGTAGTTACTATTGGAAATTTGTTGTTAAAAATAAAATAAATATTTATCTATATAAATTATAATTTTGCAGAGAAAAAAAATTTGTTCTATACAAATCGAGTAAAAAATAATAAAGTAGAGAAAAAAAATCCGAATACACTTTAACTTAGTTGTTTAACAAATTTTTTCTTTCATTTATTATTCCTTTGAAAAGCATGGCTTTGAGAAAACAAAAAATACAAACTGTCAACTCATATAAAGTGGCAATATACGTACGTCGTCCCGAGGACTTTAAAATGAAATATTCTCAAAAATATATAATTATATAACATTCTCTTGTATACTCAAAAAATAATAGTGCTATATTGGAAAATTAAAGAGAGAAAAACTCACCATTAGTTGATTATGGACCTACTATCCAATCCAGAAAGAATTCCTGAAATTGAAAAATGTTTTAATTAATTTTTAATTAATTATATGTCGTATACAAAAATTTCAATTTGAAACTCTCTTCATCTAAATTAACGAATAATTCAATTTGTGTCTAAATTGTTTCTAAACTCATTCAAAGTTTTCATCTATTATGAATTTGAGGAATTTATTTTTATAATAATAATAATAAGTCTGGGAATGAAGAAATAAATTTTACTCTAATTATAAAGTTGTAGAATATAGAGATGGGAAATTATAATTATTATACATATTATAAATTACGACTTAAAAAAAATTAATACGCACGACAATTTTTTTCCACAAAAAGGAATTTATCTCTTACAAAAAATTAATTGCATTCACTTTTTTGAGTTATTTAAAAATTCGTTCTTTAGAAAAAATAATATATAAAAACAAGGAAATTTTTCTGAAAAAATTAAAATTAGAATATTTTTTTTATATAAAAACCTAAAATCAAAGAAAGAAAAATTTTTGCTTTTATTGAGGGAAAATTTTTGATTCCAAAAAACTTTTTTTTGATAATTTGAGATAATTTGAACTTTCTTGCTTTTATATGAGCTCCAAAAGTAAAATTTTCTTAAAATTAGATTTTAAAGGTTTTTGTAAAGTCTGCTAAGTAATTAAAAAATAATTGTAGCTTTTAAGCTCAAAAAGTAAATCTCTCAAGAATTTATTTTACAGCTTTTAGAGAAACCAACCAAATAGAAAAAAATTTACAGCTTTTGTAAAAGCTCCAAAAAGCAAAATTCTCTCAAATTTTTTAGTTTAAAGC